GGAAGGAGGAGGCCTGTCCCTCCCTGTCCCCAAAGCAATGACATCGTTCTCAGCCCTTGAGCGCGGCTGATGGATCACCCTGCGTGATGACTCAGCGGCCACCAGGCAGTCTATGAAATGGAGTTCATTCTGCTGGGATCGCCCCTGGCACTTCCATCAGAAGGCAACCTTGGGGGCCCCGTTGCCAGCCCTTGGGGTGAAAGTGAAGGGGGATGTCCAGACCCTATCACTAGAGCTGGGAGGGACAGTGCCAGATAGACCCTTGGGCCCCCAGTCCAGGTCGCTGGGCAGCTTCCCTGGTGGTAATGCTCCTCCAATCCCCAGCTTCTCTAATGGGGCACAAGAGAGCCCCCCCCCAGCAGCCCTACCCCAAGAGGGAGCCCAGAGAGGGTCAGAAGAGCCCCCAGGTCTGAGGTCATGCTGGAATTGCCACTCCAGGCCCCGGGCGTGGCAGGGGAACCATATTCTCCAACCCAGATATGTGTTCCCTCCATCATTTATTCCATGTCTTCCCAGGCCTGGAGAATACTTACTTTGATGTGCCAACCACGCCCTGCAAATGATGTCAAAGCTGACAGCGTCTGCCTACATCGTCACACACCTTTAGCCACACACCGCAGATGGGCAGCAGCCGTCAGGAGCAGACTTCTGGGCCAGGCTCCCTGACTTTAATCCTGCCTTTGCTACTTAGCAGGTGTGTGGCCTTGGGTAGCAATGTCACCCCTGTGCCTCAGTTCCCACATTAGTGCAGAGGGGCCAATGACTGGACCTTCACAGGGTCCCCTGGAGGAGTCAGTGAGTCGACATTATAAAGCACCATGCCCCTCACAGCCACACACACCCAAAAACATGCTCTGACGACACCTCCAGCTCACTGTGGGGGCTCACGGCCTTCAGCCCACCCTCCAGACAAGGGTACCCAGGCCCAGGAAGGCCTCAAACCTTGCCCAGGGCCTTGCTGCTCATGGGGACCCAGGCAAGGCTGTGGCCAGAGCCCCTGTGGTCCATACTCATATTCTCAGACCTGTATTCCCCCCAGCCTGGAGAAAGCAGCCTCAGGGCTGTGCAGGGACTCCAGAATATTAGGACTTAATTGGTTCTAGGGACAAAATTTTAAAATCAGAGCCATTCCAGAAAAATCCACAAGGTATGTTTGCCCTCCGTTCTGAAAGGTGATTATGCATAGGATTTTGCTTTCTGAACGGGACTTGGCCATTGTTGGCCTGTGGTCCCAGGGCCCCCGTGGCCCCCGCCACCTCGCTGGCTAACCCTGCTCTCCTGCCTGTCCCATCCTGGGGTGCGGAGCAGACATCTGAGTCCACCGCCTCACCTGGGAGGCCGGCACCAAGAGGTCGTCGCCTGTGTTCCCTGCAATGTGACACCGTCCACCCCAGGGTTGCCACCCGGTCAGCAGCGGCCAAGGGGCTGTGGTGACACGGCTGCTAGCTGCGAGGGGTCAGGCCCCAGCCCCACGGCTCTGCTCCAGAGGCTGGCCGAGGCCAGTTTGCCCTTCTGGACTTGGTTGAGTGGGACTGAGCAGACCCCACCCCATTCCCAACTGCCCTGGCCCACCCTCTCTGCTGAGACCGTGGCGACTCTGATTCTCCAGCAGAGGAGGTCCCCTTTGTCTCCCCTGCCCTACAGAGGGGGAGGACGGTGGCTGCGGCTTCCTCTGGGGTGGGGGAGGGCTTGGTTTCATTAATCCCCAGGGGCTGAGCACCCCCCAAACCAGCCTGGAGCCCAGGTGCATGACTGTCACCAAGATAAAAGAGACGTAATTAAGTTCCAATCAGCAGAGTGATTTGTTATCATAATGTAATATTCGCCTCCAGCTGTGGGCCCACAGATCTGTCTCCATCAGGCCTTCCTGGGCGGGGGTCGCTGGGTGCCTGGGCTCCAGGCCTTCCTGCCACCCTGGGCCCAGCTACTGGAGGAGCACTGGGAGGAGGTGTCCACCCTGCCTGCCCCCTCCCGGCCACACACATCCCTCCCCCAGCTCCAAGCTGCCCGAGGTGATAATGAAGTCATTTTTCTAAGGAATGTTCACCTGGAAGACAGCCCCGTCTGCAGGCCTGCGGCTCATCCTGCTGGGAAGGCAGGCCCAGGGCAGTGGGAGGGGGTGGGGGCGGAGGGCGAGGGTGGCCCGCAGTGAGGAGCCGGCCTCCACAGTAATGATTTATGTGGGAGCCCCTCGGAGTCGAAGGGGCCACTGCCTCTGCCCTGGCCAGATGCAGCCACTGGGTCAGAAAGGAGGAAACGGGGCACCCAGGGTCCCCAGCAGCAGAACCCACCTGGCTGCTGCTGGGAGGGCTCCAGCTGTGTGCCCCCCAGCCCAGCGCAGGTGACTCCCGGGTCTCACTCCCCCGGAAGCCACCCTGCCAGGGCCCATGGGACTCTGACGCGTGTGAGCTCTCACCTGCCCGGTGTGGTCTTGCTCTTGGGCACTGAGGTTAGGAGAGCTGGGTGGTTCCCTCCCCACCTCTTTGTAGACCCTCGGTTCACCCACATTTGCTCAGTCCTCATGGCTAAAAGCCCAGCAGGGGGTCAGGCAGACCCGGGTTCATACCTGGGGGCCACGGTTCCCCAGGTGTACCCCCTGGGCCTTGTCCCCCCTGGTGCCTCAGCCTCTGCAGCTGAGAAAGGAGCGTCACAGCAGGACCAGAGCAGAGGCTGCCCTGAGGATGGAGGCTCTGGGCATGGCACGCTGTGCAGGGAGAGGGCTCAGGGCTGTTGCTCCGACGGTGAGTCCAAGCCAGGCCAGGAAGGAATGATCCACAGGGTAGCAGACTCCTGGGGGCCAGGGCTGGGGAAGGGGCCCTGGACAGTTTGTTTACAACTTTCTGCTTTTCTGTGGCTTCCACATTTGCTAAAACGGGTCTGTTGACTTTCAGGGGGGAAGCATGGGCTGTGGGTGGCCAGGAGCCTGGCAGGCGGAGGCGGCGTGTGGGCAGCCACAGCGGGCTGGCGGGCGGGTCCAACCTGGGAGGTGTCCGGGGTGGTGGCTCCGAGCACAGAGAGCATCTGTGGGTAGGTCAGCATCCTGGCTTTAAGGCCCACAGGCTGCTGTCCACCCCCCATGTCTCCCCGCACCGTGCAGACCAGGCGCTGTTAGGGTGACAGTGCCACCATCAAGAGCAGCGCCCCCTGCCTGCTGAGTTCCGGGAGGCTGGGAACTGCCCAAAGTCACATAGCTCCCAGGGGCAGAGCCGGGATGCAGGCCTGAATGCACAGATTAGAGCCAGCCGCTCAACCTCCTAAAGGTGTACAAAGGGCTTGGTGACCCTGGGACGCCTGAGGCCAGCACTCCCTTCACTGACAGAACTGTTTAGGGATGGGTGATAGACACTGAGGCCCAAGGAGGCCTGTGAGGCCCAGTGACTGAAGGGCCAGGGGAATCGAGTGGGCGGGCGGTCAGGTGGGATTGGAGCAGGGCTGGGCAGTGGGAAGACCAGCCAGCCCCCACCGTGCAAGCAGAAACTTGGTCCCCAGAGGGAGTGAAAGGTAAGACCCCCCTCCCCAGGATGCCCCCTAAGAGGCACCAGGGCACCTGTGCAGGACCCTACAGCTGTGACTGCAGGGACAGGGACGCCCACCACCCCAGGGCAGCCTAGACCACTCTTGGGGAAGGCCTACTGGTAGGGGAGCAGCGCTCAGCCAGCCACACGCACTGTCCTGTGATGTGCAGGTTTCCAGGCTCACTGGCACACACCATTAGAGATGGGCCTGGGAATCCATATGACTGAGGCCTGGGGGTCTGAGCGTCTCTGTCTGGTGCCCGGAGGGCAGTGACCAGGCTGTCTGCCAGCACAATGCCTGCCCAGGCTAGGCCCCCACTCAGCAGCCTGCAGCCTTTGGCACAGAGCACTGTGCTCCTCGGGGCTGGCCAGCTCTGAGGCCCTGGGTGGAGCAGGCCGGGTGGAGGGACAGGGCAAGCCCAGAACGAGCCGGGCGCTGGGCCTCCGGGGGCCGTGTGCGCAGCCACAGGCCGGTGGGGCTGGCGGACCTGGGTTTCAGTGACTGCATTTTCAGTAACGACATACATCTGGGAAGGCCAAGCCCGCCTCCAGTGCCAACTGCAATCAGCTGGGCTTGGCTGCACCAGAGGGCTGGGAGCCAGGCTCAGCAGGGCAGGAGCCTCGCTTGATTAGCCATGTCTGCCGCGGGTGCAGGGAAGGGCCTGCGTTTGCTGCCCTTCCCGGGGTGAGATGCCACTGTGGAGAGGCCCCACACCCCACTGATGGGCAGCCGGGCCACGGGAAGCTGCAGCCTCTCCCTGCCTCGGACCTGCCGTGTGTGTGTCCTTTCCATAGCATCCATCCTTTGCACTTCCTAAGGCGTCTGCAACACCTCCTACTGCACATCAGCCAGCCACCTGTCCATCTGACCATCTGTCCATCCATCCACCTGTCCGCTAGCTCTAGTTCAGGCCTGTTGGGGCAGAGGAGCTGGAAGGAGAGCCATGGCCTTCTAGACAGCACGTGGTCCCTGCGTCAGGAAACGCCGCCCCGGGCGAGCTGCCGGGATGGCCAGAAGGAGGCATGTCGGCTCTGCAAGGGCCCGTGAGCCCCAAGAGGAATCCGTGAGATGGCGCTGAGTGTGCCATCAGCTGGCGGGGCACCTACACTCCCCGGGGAGGTGCAGACCACACCTTCAAGGGCAGGGACACAGCACACCGTGTGTGCGGCAGCGGTCCCGAGGCCAGGGTCTTAGTAATGAGCAGCCAGACCAACCTGAGTCCCTCGGCTCCCTCCTACCCCTTTGTGGTTGTTCAGCCTCTCGGCCATGGCCTCTGCACCTATGAAAAGGGGATGCTGGCCCTGGGCCCCTGAAGCCATGTGCGTATGAGGTGCCGGGCGCAGAGCTGGCACACGCGCTGGAGGCGAGGTAGGAGCCCCAGCTCACAGGGCAGGCACCTCTGCGCGAGGCCACAGCTCAGCCGCTCGCGTGCGTCTCCCGGGAGGCGCCCTGCCAGTTCTGGGTGCGTCAGAGAACGTGTCGGGAAAGCACCCAAAGGCTTGCGAGAGGGAATAATGTGACCGGGAGGGGAAAGAAGCGGCTTGTGCCAAGATGGTTATAGCAACACTATTCATGCGGCTCAGAACTGGAGCCCTCCCAGGTGCCCAGCGATGGGGAGCAGGGAAGCCAGCGGCCCAGAAGGCAGCTGCATGGACCCCGTGGGTACACAGCGCTTGGCAGAGCCACCAGCAGAGGCAGGGTGGGCAAGACCAGGTGGGTGGGCATGCTGGCCACCCCAACGCAGCTGCCCGCGGCTGGTGGAGCCAAGGGTGCAGGCAGACGCATCCACAGTGGAGTTAATGCCTAGGGTCTCCAGCACCCCCTGTTCCAAGCCCTTGAGGAGGCCCCCATGTCTGGCTGCCCCCCTTAGAGCTGGGAAGGAGCTCTGAAGTCACGTTTTGGGACTGAAGCCAGCCAGTCCTCACCAGTGGTGCCAGTGAGGTCAGAGCCTCCCCCTCCCTCATTTTCCAGTGGGGTTAAACCAGAGGACAGGAGCTTGGCCCTCACCTGGCTGGGGAGATGCAGGAAGGGGCAGCTGCTGCCCCGTCAGACAGTGGGGTTGTCCGTGGAGCAGGCTCCTCGCAGACCAGGGGCATGCAGGCTGCTTGGCGCCCTCCTGAGCAAGACGCCCTGCTCTTCTAGAAATCAGGGCCCTGCACCTTCACCATGGAGCCACCCCTTCCAACATGAGCTGCTCTGGGCATGTTGGGTAAGGGCTGCCCTCAGATCTTCGGCACACTTGTGCGGGCTGGTGACCGAGGAGGGAGGGGAGGGAGGGGAGGAGCCCAAGACTCCCCTCCCCTAGCCCAAGTCAAAGCTATAGGGACGGTGTGGGGTGGGGGGCCTCCAGGAGGGATAGAGCCAGCGGGAGTCAGGAGCCTGTCCTGCGGAGAGGTGACCGGGGCAGACCAGGCCGGGGAGCAGCGGCACTTTCCGTCAGGCCTCCCTCACGCACTTGGGCTGTGCTGAGCAGGCCCGGTGGGGAGCAGGAGACTTGGGCAGGCGTGGAAACCCACAGGGACCCGGCCTCTGTGCGGTGCGGCCTTCGGGAGACCCTCAGGAGCTCCTGGTGACACCAGCCCTGTGCCCCTGCCCCATGGGCCTGGCCCACCAAGAAAGCAAGATGTTTACACTTGGAGAGAAACCCTCGTGTGGAAGGGAGAGCTGCCCGGGACCCACAGGCTCCTCCAGGACCTGACACTTTAGAAAGCCCTCTGGGGGCCATGGTTTTATTTGGATCGCAGTCATCAAACACCTTCTTACAAATTTTACACGTAAGGAAGCTGAGCCAAGGCGAGCTCGGGCAGAGAACCCCGGTCTCCGGAGGGCCCTTGCCTTTTGTCTGCTGAACCGCATTGCTACCAGCCGGGGCTCCTGGCTGGTAAAACCCTCACCAGGAGGCCTCTCGGCCTGCCCCCCAGTGTCCCTGTGCCCAGCACTCCTCCTGGCACCCTGGATGGGGCCTCTCCCCTCCCTCCTCTGGCCTGGACGGCTCTGGGCCCGGGCTCCGTGGGCCTCGGGCGGCTCCTCTGAAACTCCAGGAAAGAGCTGAGCACGTACAACCATTTTCTCAGATGAATTATAATTTCCCTTCATTTCCCCTTCAAAACATACTAATTAAACGGACATTGTTGAGACAGCCAATTGAAATTCAAAAAAGCATCTGCCTTCTAAAGAACATGTCCATTTCTTTAGAGGCAATTGTGTGCATTGTCTCTGCACACGGATGCACACGCGTGCGTGCACTCAAGCTGGGCGCAGATGCCAGCCTCACCTGAATGGCATGCTTTGTGTCCACGGAAGGGAATATTTGGTTGAATTTTTTTTCCCCAATGTTTTCCATGGTAACTAGGGTATGGATAACCTGGAATGTTCTTCCTCCCACAGCTGCCCAGATCCCATGCGGAGGGGCCCTGAGGACAGCGGAGCAGCCACCCTCATGAGGTACTGTCCACCACCCCGGGGTCAGGTTCCTCTCTGGCTGCTCTCTTGGAGGGATCGTCTCTTCCATGCCCCCATCTGCCCCTCACCTGAGCCCACACAGAAACTTCTGGACCCAGCCTGGGGGTGGGGAGGCCTCGACCACCTGGTAGACCCCAACCCCAGTCCCTAGGGTGATGGGCCAATGGCCCCATGACTGACGAGAAAAGTCTCAGCCTTCAAACCCAAGGGGCCTCCAGGGAATCCAAGCTCACCTGGGGGTGTGCCTCTTTTTAAATGTAATTCCTTGATTTGTGTTTTTAAATCAAAATGTAACAGACAGGAGGTATGTGAGTGACTTACCACGGGGCACCTGCTCTGGGTGGCCAGACAGGCAAGACCCCGAACTTCACGAGCCCCACAGCTGGCCCCGTGGTTGGACCCCCTGCCTCCCCTGCCTGTTCACCCATCTCTCCTGCCCCAGCACAGGGCTGGGCACAGAGTAGATGCCCAATAAACACCCAGGGTGGGATGACACCCAGTGCCGAGGGAACAGCCCAGGGCAAAGCCCAGCCAGCAGCGCGCTCTGGGCGCTCTCCGTGCACCTTTAGGACGCAGCCCCACCTGTGCCTGTGCCTGGCTCGGCCTCACAGGCCTGACCCTCCACCCTCTCTTTCCCCCAGAGCCATGCCTACTCAGGGCCCTGGCTCACGGTGAGGCCACTGTCCCCAGCGTCCTGGAGCACAGATGTACACATCTGGTGCAGAGCCACATTCCCCCCCTGCACAGCAGCACAGTTGGGGAATGTTCACAAGCACCAGTGAAAGCTTAGATTTGCAGGGTCCCACACGACATGCAGTGTCCCCAAGTTCCCACAGTGCTTGGAGGCCTGTCCCCGGGCCCAGGCCATGTCCTGTGCAGAGCTGCTCTACCGCGCCCCTCAGCTGGTATCCTCAGGCCCAGACCACTCGGGGAGCCCCTGCAGATCCTCCGGTTGGGAAGGTAAAGGCCCCAAACAAGGAGACCAAGGTCAGGCTAGCATTCGAGTGTGGTGATGCTGGCTTTGAGGAAACAGAGTTCTTGTCCCTCTGGCTCTCCTTGTCCTTCCCCTGCACTCTCCCTGAAGACAGACACTTGGCGGTGGCGGCCCCACCCAGCCCGAGGGCCAGGGGCTCAAGGACAGTACACCCTCTCCAAGGGGAGGGAAGGGGGCCTTGCAGGGTCCTGGGAGCTACTGCCTCAGAGAGGCTGCACGCCTTGCTCACTGGACCCCTGGCCCCGGGAGAGGCAGGCCTAGGCAAGGTCACCGGGAAGGGGGTCAGATCCATGCACCTCCGGCCCTCCCGGGGCCACAGCTGCTGTCCCCCGGGCCCTCCAAAGCAGAACTACCCCACGGAAGGATGGCACTTTAAGGCAGCATCTCACATTCCCACCTCAACCTAGACCTGCTGCTGACCCAGGCCCGGGAGCCAGGCCCTCCGACCTTCAGCTGACATTAGTCCAGCTTACTGGACTAATAACCAGCTGCCCCAGATCCATCCTTTTACCTGTTTCTGGAGCTCTGGGGGAAAGGATTTTCTAGATGGAGTCTTTCCTGGGGGGAGAGAGGAGGTGGGTGCCTGCTGGTAGGGGGACCACAGGAAACTGATGGGGACCAGAGACCATGGGGACAAGCTTCACGGGTCACAGGCCCTGAGTGCAGCTGCCACCTTGGGTGGGGGATGCTGGGCCTAGGGACCTCGTCCAAGAGCCCACACCTGGATTGTGAGGTGCTGCCCTCCCAGCAGCCGTTCCTGGTAAACAACGGTCCTGTCCACACCAAGTGAGCACCTGCTATGTACTGGGCATGGGACCTGCCACCAGGGATGGAAATGCATGGAACGTGTGCTGAGATGAAGGAAAAGAGAGGGAAGGCTTCCTGGAGGAGGTGATGTAGCCAAGCTGAGGAGAAGGAGGGAGGCTGGGGGTATTCCTGCAGAGAAGGAGCAGGTGCAAGGGCCAGGAGACTGAGCAAGCCCAGGCACTGGAGCTGGAGACTGTGTAAGTGTGTGGGAATGAGTGTGAATGTGTAAGTGCTGTGTGTATCGTGAGTGTGTGAATGTGTGTCTGTGTGTGTACAAGTGTTTGTGTGAGTATGAGAGATCTGGTGTGCATGGGGAAGGTCATTAGGGCCTCATGGGACACAATAAGGTGATAAGGAGTCAGGACATGATCTTTAGGGTACCAGGGAGCCACAAAGTGTGGTAGGGTCAGAATGACAAATCAGGCAGGTCCCTCCGGGTTGGGTCTGGATTGGAGGCTGGAAATGGCCGAGGTACCAGCTGAAGGCCACTACAGTGTTGCCGGACAAGGTGGGTGGTCCTGGCCAGGTGGTGGGCAGATAAATGTTCTGGATCTTGGTGTCTGCAAGTCCAGAAACAGGACAGGGATGATGGCTGCAGGCCCCCCAGCCGTGTCTCCTAAGACCCAGGGCCTGGGCCCAGCATCCTATGAGCTGCAAAGCGCTCACTTGTCCAAGGTGGTGCACACACAGGCCTGTGCCCAGGGCTCCCTAAGCCCCAGGAGCTCGGCAGGACTCTACTGGGGCTGCAGGTCACTACTGGGGCAAGTGACCTGACTTCTCTGAGCCTCAGCTTCTGTGTAGAATACAAAAACGTGTATTCATCAGTTTTTGTTGCACAACAAACCACCCCAAAACTCAGCTGGTTGCAATGACTGCCATGCTTTCCTTCCACCTGGGTCTGTGCGCTGTGCTGGGCTGGGCTGGCCGCGGGCTACAGGCTGGGTTCCGGTCTGCATTTCCTCATCCTCCGTAGCGGGGCTCCCGGGACACTCCCAGTTGGCAGCCCATGAAGCAGCGGCCTGAGCTCACACACCCGTTGGCCCAGCGATCCTGTGACCCAGCCCAACAGGGGTCGGGGTGTGGCTGGGCTCCTAGCAGAGGGGGTGAGGAGCTGGGCACCTCTCCAGGTCCCCAGCTTCATCACGGAGTGCTGGGAGGACCCAAGAACGGGGACGTGCAGTGCCCCGCGCTGTGCTCTGGACGTGTGACGTCTGCCGCTCGACAGAAGAGCCTGCAGCGCCCACCCCGCCTGTAAGGCCTCGGCCGGCTCTCCAACTGCCTGTGGGGGCTGCCGGGTGTCAGGTGTCCTCTGAGGCCCCTTGCCTGCCACGTGGGCTGGGACTCCACCGTGCCGGCCGGAGTGCCCTTGACTCAGGACACCCATGCAGCCGCCAGCAGCCCCACAGGGCCCATCACCGCTGTGCTTCTGCCAGCTGGGGATCTGTCTGCCCCCCGCCACACCCACACGAGCCTTCTCCTCCTGAGTGTGGCCTGGAGTGCAAGCCAGCCTCGGGGAGGAGGCTGCCCAACACCCTGGGTCCCTAGCACCCCCGCCCCCTGGGCTCTAGATTTGCCAAGACTCTGCACCCACCTGGGAACCTGGGGAGAAAATCTGGGAAGCAGCCTCGATCAGAGACATGGGAATGCCCATCTGCCCAATGGACAGGGAGGGAGGCAGGGACGAGGCAGCCTCACAAGTGCCCGGGGACATGGGCCCCTTGTCAGAGGCCCTGGATCAGCCTCACCCTGATGCTCAAGCCCCTCCTGCCTCCCCGCCAGAGGGGCCAGCTGCCCTTACATGCCTCCGGAGTCAGGCGCCTCCCTCCCACTGGGGCAGCCGGCTAGGAAGCCCCTCTTCCTCGTCTGACCTGAGCTCTCAGACTCGTGACCCTGCGTTGCCACTTCGGACTCCATGTGGCAGGTCTCCAGTGTGGTGCTGAGCACCTGCTGAATGCAGTGCCGAGCAGGCAGCACCCCCACAGTACAGACATGGATGCCCGGGGGAGGGCTCAGACTCGGCAGGGCCACCTGGCTGGGAAATCAGAGCCCTGCCTGCCAGCGCCAGCATCGCCACCTCCCCTCGGCCCCTTCCCCTCTGGGGCCCGGCAACAGAAACAGGGGCACAGCTCCTGTGCCCTGGAGATGAGCAGAGGGGTCCTGGTGGTCTGTGCAGGACACTCCCAGGGCGGGTCGGGAGAGCGAGCTGCTGCCCGACCCGTCACCTCCGTCTTGGCACCGCTTAGCCCGACTGTCAGAAAGATTCCAAGGCAGTTAGGTTCCGGGGAAGCCATGAATCTCAATACCCATCAGTCCAAGTTTGCGCCTCTTCTTGAACAACAGATAGAATGTCACTGGTTGTGGCCCAGACTCCCAGAGGGCTCTCTGATAAAAAGCCACTTCTTCAAACCATCAAACCCAAGTTCCTTTCAAGCAACCAGAGGGTCAGGTTTCCCTAGAGGGGACGGGAGGACAGCGGCAGGAAGCAGGGAGGCGGGGCTGCCTGCTGCCCCCTGGGCCTAGAGGCAGTGCCAAGGCTGTGGGTTCTGAGATCTTTTCCTGGACTCCTTGAATCTGGCATGACAGCTCTGAGAGCTGGCCATCTAATCCCTGCTTGATTACCACTGGCGGCCGGGTGCTCCCCCCTAGCAAAACCAGCGATCCCTATAGGGATGGTTCTGCTGAAAGGAGATGCTTCCAAAGCTGCTCCAGACCTACCTTCTGCATTGCCCCACAGGCCCTGGCTCTGTCCCGGGGACACACAGAGCCAGCTGCATGTGACCCCTGGGAGCTGCTCCCACCGGAGAGATGCAGTGGGGACCTGGGGCTGTGGGGTGGGCAGGGGAGGGAAATGCTCACATGGGGCTTATGTGGTTTTATCCTGGGCAGGCTTTATCTTCAGGCATTGAGAGGGTTTGAGGAAAGTGCTAAGGGGAAGCGCCCCTGCAGGGCAGGGGCTGGGAAGGCAGAGAATCGCTCATTCCGCAGGATGAGCCCCCTCAGTCTTGCCTGCAGGCCTGCCACGCCCCATTTTTTGGTAGCCCAACTGCTATCCCCCACTGCCCCTGGACGTGGCTCCCCTCCCAGGAATGGAGGCCAAGCTTGAACCTCAGAGCCTGGGGCCAGGGAAGGGCCCAAAGGAGAGTGCCTCCTCTGTGCCCCTTGGTCTTCCCCTGCTCCTGCCCCAGGAGCCTGTTTGCTATCGAGCAATAATCAGGCACCTCCTGGGTGCCCGGCGCTGGGTCCCTCCTTCCAGGAGTGACTTCACTGATGTAACAGGGTCCCCACGCTACAGAGGGGAATCTGATCTTTCCAGAGGCACCCCCCAGGGAGTGGGCCACAGGGCTGAACTCGCTGAGGGGGCCCCAGCACTACTCTGCAGGCCTTTTATGACCATGTCCTGAGACCCCTTGAAGGAGCAAGAAAGACTGGACTGGGGAGGCCTCCCCCAACTGTCCCCAGGATGGGAGAAGAGTTTCACCTCTGAAATC